GTAGGAGTCCGAGCTCCCAACGAAATTGATAACACAAGCCCTCAACATAACCTCGATTGTTTGAATGCTCCGCTCACTCTGTCCATCAGTCTGGGGTGATAAGCAATGCTAAAATACAGTCTCACACCCAGCTTCTCGTTGAACTTCATGCTAAAAGCGAGAAGTACATCGTACATCATTGTCGGAGACGATAGAAACAGGCACCCTGCGGCGAGCAATGATCTCACGTACATACACATCGGCCAACTTCTCGGCCGAAGAATTCTCCCGAATGGCGAGAAAGTGGCACTCTTGGTCAACCGGTTGATAATGACCCAAATTGCATCAATACCCTTAGCCGTCCTCACTTCTTTGTTGGGGATTAGGAACATGAAAGTATCAAAAATCTTATACGACGATGATGCCATTTTTGTTGGATATTGGGAACGTAAAGTATATGAAATCTTGCCTGCATTCTAAGATGTTTTCATGTGTCTTCTGGCCTAAAGGTCAACTTCCATAAGTCCCTACTCTTCGGTATTCACATCTCTGATTTGGAATTACATAGTCGACTTATAATGTTGGGTTACTTGAAAGGCTCATTCCCTTTTACTTATACGAATCGTCCAACGTGCAGGTGCCAAAAATACACGTTCAATCTTTATTTTCAAAAATTAACTCAGGTTGTCCCTAGAAAGTCATTTTGTTACACGCTTTGTCCCCTACCTAACATGAAATGACTATATCATAATTTTATATTTCTTTTTTTCCTTTTCCTTTTTTTTTCATTTATTTTTATTAATTATAACTTTGTGAAAAATGTTGGTCAACAATGTAGTATATCATGTTCCTACCACATGCTACCTCCGATAACCATCTACATCCGACCACCATCCTACTTTGACCACCAGACACCTCTAACTACTAACCATTTTCGATCATCCTTTATAACATATATATCTCAATATATCTTCCATGTCTTCTTTCTAAAAAACTTTGAGAAGAACATCCAACAACCACTATGTTCTACTTTCGACAACCACTTGTAATCCACCCCACCCACCCCACCCCAAACCAAACCAAATTTGAATCAAATATGAAAATCATAAAACTCAAAACCTTAAAATCAAACCATAAATCTAAAATCCCAAACGTTAACATCAAACCACATTAAATCGGAAAACCCAACCCTACAATTTGAAAAGCCACTTGCATAAGTTGAGCAACGTTGATGTATAAATTAAGCACATATATGGGTCAGGGTGAGAATGAGTGGGCTGGAGACCACGATGGGTGAAGAAAGAAGGTTCTCCAGAGGGAGTAGCCATCGACAACGGGTTTAAACATGGTGATGGTGGAGTTCAGTGGTAATGGTGGCGTTTAATTGTAATGGGGGAGATTGTGGCTTCGAAAATAACCATGGTTGAGAGAGAGAGAGACCCTCGCCTGAAACATGCTGGCGAAGTTAGTGGCTTGCAGGGATGATGGTGGTGGCTTGGAGGCGACGATGACTGATCGGAGGCGATGGCGACAATTACTTGCAGGAGACGAAATCAGTGGTGTGAAAGGATGATGACAGTGGTTTGAAGGGGATGACGACGACCTTAGTTGTACCTGTGGTGGCTGGATTTTGACTTTGTGGGGGAGATGAGGTTGTAAATGAAGATGAAGAAATGGGAAGGAAGATTTAGGGTACTTCTAGGTAAATGAGGGTGGGGGCGGGTAAGGGTGATATGTTTAACTGTTTAAAAATTATTAATTATTAAATATAAAATAAATGGTTGACATTTTTTTTTCTTTTTATAAATACAAAATAAACTAGTAAGGGTAAAATAGTCATTTTATTTCTAACAAAAGATAAATCGGGTAGATTTAAACTCATTAGGGATGAAATGTGCAAAATTAAACAAAACAAAGATGGTCCAGATTAATTTTTGAAAATAAGAAGTAAAACGTACCATTTGACATCTGCATGAGGGACTATTCGTATAAATTACTCTTAACATTTTATTTTGACTTTACGATCATAGGCCAAATTTAGATGAAAACAAGATAAAATTTTAATTTGAACATTGCAATGTCGAAAACCGTGAATAAATAAACATTTTAAAAAATTTAAGTTTTTCTATACAAAACAAAAATTAAACATATTAATAAGTTCAAAATTTAATATGTTTTTATAAGCTGTAATAATTTAGAAAATCTTAATTTTGAAAAGCTTATAATATAACCGTTGTTGGTTTCGGGATCTAACACCTCTATTTTAAATGCGTGTTTGGGATAACTTTTTAAAATAACTTATTAGGTTTTTAGTTTTTTAATAAGTTAAAAAAAGTATTTATATATTTAAAAAATAATTTTTAAAACAAATTTTTGAATAAAAAAAATAAAGTTTTTAAAAAATAAAAAATCTTAGCTTTTTAGTTTTTTAAACTATTTTATTCAAAGTAGTTTTTTTTTTCAAACACTTTTTAATTTTTTTTTTTTAACTATAAGATAACAAACACTATAAAAACATGTCACTCCCGTTCCCAAACCCCAAACATGCCCTAACTCCCGTTCTCACAAGACCCCAAACCCTGACGATCTCTCTACTCGTAACTTCTCCGCTCCCCTGAGACCAAAACACCACCTTCCTTTCTTCGCCGGTGATCTAAGAAACCCTTTGAATTCGACAGGATTTGTTTATAGCCGCGCGTTCTTCAGTCATTCTGCTCTCAACAAACCCAAACACCCCCAGAGCCATAGCGATCTATGTAACTCTACTGCCGGAGACCTAAACACCCCCAACCTGCGCAGGTAATTCTCATTCATCTCTCTAGTCCAAGAAATTATCAAGATCGTTGTAAGTTTTCTCTAGGGTTGTTTTTTTTTGCGGTTAAGATATTGTAATTTTCTTGTCAAATTAAAATTGATGTTTGAATAAGAAATAATCAAAGGTTAATTTCTCATCTTTTCATTCTTATACCTTTTTTTTTTATTATTATTCTTTATACTACTTTATTTCTCCAGTTTTTTTTTTCCCTGTAAAAGTAAAGTTAATGTATGCACATGAAAACTAATTCTAACAGATCAGGATGTTTTAGTGGATAATCTTACCTCGAATTTCAGTATTCACTGTTTCTTTTTTTGTTAGGTTAAAAAAAGAATTTGAACAAAAAGGCAAAAACATCAGACTCAGTGCATGGTTTGATTAATAGCTAACAATGTTGAAAAAGCCATAGCACATATAATAGCTATACACATCAATGGGAGGTAAGTATTTATCTTTGTTGGGGGTCTTGTAACTTTTATAATAATAATAATTATTATTATTTATTTATTTTTTTATTTCAGAGTTCCCACACCGAGTGCAATTTAACTTTCATTTTCCATTTCTTTCTTTTTTGACATGTAACTAAGGTGCTACTTTTGGTAAAAAAAAAAATAAAGTTACATTGCACACACTTCAAAAAGAGTAAAGCATGTTGCTATTTTCTGTGATTTTCCAAACTTGATATCCGTACGATTTTAATGTCAAATTTAACATACAATAATTTCTTTTGATAAGACACGAGAACAACAAATCTTCTCAAAATCATAAAGTTTTCTGATCAGTTTGAGTTTTATAAACAATTCCTCTTAGGCTAATTTTATTAACTTTTTATTTTTTGTTTAATTGTTGCCGGAGTCTCTAGGAGCATTAAGTTTTAGTTGCATTTTATTTTAAGTGATAATGCGGTTATTATTATTTGTTGATGCGGTTTTCTAACAGCACCAACAAATATAGCATAAAAAAATAACAATATCTATTGATGCGGTTTGTAAACCGCATTAGAAATCATGAAAAACCACTTTATAAAATATCTAAGTGAAAATCGCAAATCGCACCAAAAAATTAAGAACCACTCTATTAAATAATAACACCAAAAAATACAAAATCGTTCTAAATAATAGCACCAAAAAATATAAAACCAACCTACCCGCCTAATTTGATAAGAACCGGAACCGGTGGTTCTTAAAATGATGGAACCGGAACCGGAACCGGTCCCGAAACAGGTAGTTTCGGTTCCAATACCGGGTTCCCGGTTTAGTTATTTGTTTTAGAATAATCAAGAACAAATCAACTACAATTAGAACTAGGTGAAACCCATTTATGAAAATATTAACTATGAATTTAGTTAAATACATAAACATGCATATTCACCGAAAGCTCCTCATTTGGAAAAAGGAAATGAAGAGGCCTTATGGGGATATTAAGCATGAAGTTCAATTATATAACAATGGTGAGGAACATACTTTTGTTTAGAAGCGATGTGGGATGGAAATATGGGATGAGAATAAGGGTGAAGTTTAATCTCCTCCCACTTTGCCTGTAAGCATTAAATCCATAAGCATGCCTTCCTTAAATCTTAAAAAAAAAAAAGGATGTAAGGGCATCCACAATGCATTGAACTCCATAGAGTTTAATGGATTGCCACATCATCATTCTTAAATTCATACAACTCTATTATTGTTTTCTTTACAATGCATTGAACTCTACAAAGTTCAATACAATGTTACAAAATATAATTTATAGTAAATATTTAAGGATTAAAACTTTCATTTTTCCCATTGAAGAGTTCAATGGCTATTGCACTCTAAATCCATTGAATGCCAAGGTGGCATCTCACAATGGTTAAGTTTCATCCATTAAATGACACATGGACTTGCCACATCTTCAACTCTTCCATTAAATTCACCATTGTGGATGCTCTAAATCGAAATGAAATGGAATTAATATAACTTCAATCACATCGACCTTTTAGCTTGCTAGTTAACAAATTTTGTATATAATTCTAACATATCTTCAATAACCATTACAATTAATTAGCATGACAAACATACGTAATTTTAAAATAGAGATTAATAATGTGATTGTATTTTCAACTTTGCTAAATATATATATTTATTAATAATAATTTATTAATCATATATATATATATATATATATATATATATATATATATATATCGGTTCCGACGGGTAACGGTTCCAACAGAATGAGAACCGGAACTGCATCAGGCGGTTTCAAAACTTTAGGAACCGGAACCGATAGTTCCGAGGCAGTTCCGGTTCCAAAAGCGGATTTAAAATTTGCCCTAATCAGTGATCATTACTAGAGCAATAAACATAAACAAACTAACCTTGTTTGAGTGAGATCGAACGTGAATAGAGTGAGAGATAGAGGGTGTTTGGTTAAGCTTATTAAAAATGCTTTTAACTATTTAACTTATAGTTTATTAACTTACAACGGTTTGGAGTTTTTAAAAAGTGTTTGGCTAATCCTTCAAACTCCTCGGTATTTCATTCAAAACCAATTCCCATTTCACATTCAAATGTAAGCTACTCTCATTGCAAATGTTTCTATTTTAGAGCTCTTTTATGAGTTTATTACGCATCAATCAACAAAATAATCACCACGAAAAAAAAAGAATGAATGAAAGGCTAGGAAAAAAATCGACAGGAAGAAAGGGCTCGACAGCAGAAAAAATTGGACAAAAAAGAACCTTAGCTGTGGGGTCGAAGGTCTCCCGTGTTTTTGTGGGGTGCGACTTGTCTCCGGCCGGTAGCTTCACAGGGGAGGAGATGGCTAACGGCGGGTGAGCAGGGAGGGCTAGCTTGAGGAGGCAACAATAGGCGTTTGTGTCGCTGTATAAGGTTTATTAGGCTAAGGGTATATCGGTCAATTTTATTAAATGGTAAAATAAAGACTTTTTGATAAGTAAAGGTATCAAAAAGACAAAATTATATAAATGGTTATCGTGGTTTATCAAAAATAATAATAATTTAAGTCTCTTTTATTAATTTATTTTGACGAACATGATGTTTAAGAATTTTAAACCATATGAAATTATATAAATGATTATTGTGATTTATCAAAAATAATAATAATTCAATCCCCTTACTCTTGTATATCATCTTTCTTTCTTAGGGGCTGTTTGGCAGCATCTGAATTTTTAAGATCTAAATTTTTAAGAGATCTGAATTTCTAAGAGGGTCTGAATTTTTAAGATCTGAATTTTTAACATGCCGTTTGGTTGAATCCTCTTAATTGTTGTGCAAAATAATAAAAATGACAAATTTACCCTTTTTTATTATCTATTGCTAAATTCAATATTTCTGGTTTAAAAAATAACCAAAACAGCTCCTTGATTATTACAAAAAAATGTTTAAACAACATATAAAATGTAAACCATACATAAAACAAAGTTACACAATGATCAAAATCAAACATAAATACAGTAATTTCAGGTTTAACTAAACAAAAATCGTGACAAAATATAAGCTGCTAAATGTACTAGCTACACTTGAGTTGATTTCTTTGGATGAAAGTGTGATGGCACCCCTTTCCATTTTGTCTAACAATTGCACATGCCTTTCCATCAATTTCAGCTTGTTGTTTAGTGATTGAATATGCAATTAGGATTTGACAAATCATGTGAGTATTTTAACGGCTTTTGGAAAGAAAATTGAAATACTAAAGGAGGAGCAAAATGTTACATAATCACTTCATAGTTTCCAAATTCTTTAAAGAGTTGCAAAAAATCAAAAACTTGAAGTAAAGAGAAAAAAAAAATACAAAAATTTGAAGTTAAATCAATCAGAAAATTCATTAACCCAATTTTAAGGTCTGATTTCACATCCTCAAAGTTATTCTCATTAGATTCTTCATCTCAATTAAGCAGTAAAGTCATTAACAGAGACAGCTAGGTAAGAAATTTTACGAACATTAGAGAAAAGTATATGATTTCAAGAAAAGAATATGATTTCTACCAACATCACAAATATTCCAATGAAAATAATCGAGTTTTAGCGAAAGAAAACAGTTACTTGTGTTGTTGACGAGAGACCTGTAGGGCTTCACTTCGGCGATGGCGGTAGTTGCGGAGGCAACGTCACCGACGGAGGCAAAGGCAGAGGAGAGATCTCTGGAGGAGTGGTGGCCGGCTGATGGCGGAAGGGCCGGTCATCTGGTTGCAGTTCGGAGATGCAGTGGGGGAGGCAGCGTCGTGTGTGTTGAAAGAGAAGAGGGGACTGGGAAAAGTGAAGGGCAAGCTTGGATAGGAGCGTGTGAGGGATGACCACCATTAGTTATCAGATATGGATCTCCACCGATTGTTTGTTTATTGACGAAATCATGGAGCGTGTGAGGGAAATTAATGCAATGATATGGTGGAGGAAGGTGGCAACCGAAGTGATTGAACAATGAAGAATGTGATGGGTTTGACATTACAAAACAAAAACTAAATCCTAAGTGTGCATGCAACCTAAAATAAAAGATCTATATTTTCTCTATTGAACTTATAACTATGAACACCAAAGCAAGGACCCTAGAAACCCTAGGTTATTTCGAAATTAATAAGGAAAAGATTACATACCTTATTCTTGTTATTGTAAACATTGTAGTATGGTTCTTATGATTCAAAATCAGAGGATGAACACACACGAACAAACCAAGAAAATAGGGAAAATGAACAACAACTAACCCGGAAAAAGCTTTAAATTAAATAGAAAGAACGTTAAAAATATATATATATAAAGAAAGAACATTAAAAAAGGCAGTTTACTAGGCCCTATAATTTTTATAAATAAAACGTCAAATTAAATAGAAAGAACATTAAAAAAAAATGTATAAAAATTGTATTTTATTTTTTTTTCAGTTTTCTGAAAAACAAAACCACAAACAACTTAAAATGACCACCAATCCAAAAAAATAGAATTTTGATCAAAACCCAGAAACAATGCATAATATAGGGATATTTTTGTAGTTTTGTTTATTTAAAATTTAAGATAGAAACATATTTTTATTTTTAACACAAAACAAAAACCTATATCTTGAAACCAAAACAAAAACCAATAAATACTCTTTCCATCATTGATTGTCTTCCGTTTTCCAATATATTTGATTCAAAAACCATATCTTCAAACCATCTTATATATTACTTAAAATTAACAAAAATACACTTACAGACAAAATATATAAGTTCCTAAAAAAATAGTTTTTTGCAAATCTATTTATTTATCAATTAGGTTTATTAAGTTTTAAAGTTGTTTTATTTTGCAAAATAGTGTAGCATACGGGTTGTAATCTAGTTGTTTAATAAGTTGGTCCAATACCCTTAAACCGACCACTAAGTAACTAATTTATGTCTGATCAATGACGAAGCCACATTAAGACAATGGTGGGCCTTGGCCCACCCACACATTCATATATATATATATATATATATATATATATATATATATATATATATATATATATATAAAAAGAAAATGTTGGGCTTCTTTTGTCTATGACACACACAAAATCAAACAAAGAAAATGAATATGTGTTACTGTCTATACCTCAAGTCTCAAGAATATATGATTCCATTTTTTTCATTAGTCCTCAAGTCTCAGGAATATATGATTGGTTTCTTTGATAAATTGGTTTGATTAAATAAGTTACAGGTTGAAACAAGTAATTATTTACACTATTGCTTTCTTTAGTAACTTAGTTTGATTGGAATAAAGAAAATTTTGGAATAAAGAAAATTTTGGAATAAATAAGCAAATAAAAAACAAAGTAAACAGTTACCCTAATCCAAATTCAAATAGAAAAATCCAATTGATTTTAACGGATATTTGATTACCAGCTCTAATCCTAATTCAGTGGATTTAAAATTTTCCCTAATGAGCGATCATTACTAGAGCAATAAACATAAACAAACTGACCTTGTTTGAGTGAGATCGAACGTGAATCGAGTGAGAGATAGAGGGTGTTTGGCTAAGCTTATTAAAAATGCTTTTAACTATTTAACTTATAGTTTATTAACTTACAACGGTTTGGAGTTTTTAAAAAGTGTTTGGTTAATCCTTCAAACTCCTTGGTATTTCATTCAAAACCAATTTACATCTCACATTCAAATGTAAGCTATTTTCATTGCAGATGTTTCTATTTTACAGCTCTTTTATGAGTTTGTTACGCATCAATTGGTAGAACCAACAAAATAATCTAACAGAAACTAGGAAAAAAAAGAAAGAATGAAAGGCTAGGAAAAAAATCGACAGCAAGAGAGGACTTAACGGCAGGAAAAATTGAACAAAAACGAACCTTAGTTGTGGGGTCGAAGGCCTCCAGTGTTTCTATGCGGTGCGATTTGTCTCCGGCCGGTGGCTTCACAGGGGAGGAGATGGCTAACGGCAGGTGAGCACGGGAGGGCTAAGCTTGAGGAGGCAGCGATCGACAGAAGCAGGCGTTTGTGTTGCTATATAAGGTTTATTGGTCTAAGGATATATCGGTCAATTTTTTATTAAATGGTGAAATAGAGAGTTTTGGCAAAGGATATATCGGTCAATTTTATTAAATGGTAAAATAAAGAGTTGTTGACAAGAAAAAAAAAATTATATAAATGGTTCTTGTGATTTATTAGAGGGGTAAAGACTTAAAATGTTTGATTTTACACATCAGTTATTCACTTTTGTTTTTATCTACAATTACTTCTTCAACTTGTTAAATTGTACACATTTAGTCTTTATGACCGGCTACTTCAGGTTAGCCGGTAAAAATGACTTAATAAGGTAATATATATCTCATTCTGTACAGTCCTTAATATTTTTATACACATTTAGTCCTTAATAGTTTTATACACATTAAGTCCTTAGTAATTTTTTAGTTGCAAAATAAGTCATTTTTGTTTTTGTACTCATTCAGTACTTTCAATTGATTTATTTAGGTTTTTCTCATGACCTATACCACCACCATATGATTATCCCACGTAATATGTCGTGAGAAAAAACCTAAATAAATCAATTGAAAGTACTGAATGAGTGCAAAAACAAAAATGACTTATTTTGCAACTAAAAAAATATTAACGACTAAATGTGTATAAAACTATTAAAGACTAAATGTGTATAAAAATATTAAGGACTGTACAGAATGAGAAATATATTACCTTATTAAGTCATTTTTACCGGCTAACCTGAAGTAGCCGGTCATAAAGACTAAATGTGTACAATTTAACAAGTTGAAGAAGTAATTGTAGATAAAAACAAAAGTGAATAACTAATGTGTAAAATCAAACATTTTAAGTCTTTACCCCTCTAATAAATCACAAGAACCGTTTATATATATATTTTTTTCTTGTCAACAACTCTTTATTTTACCATTTAATAAAATTGATCGATATATCCTTTGCCAAAACTCTCTATTTCACCATTTAATAAAATTGACCGATATATCCTTAGACTAATAAACCTTATACAACGACACAAACGCCTGCTTCTATCGATCGCTGCCTCCTCAAGCTTAGCCCTCCCGTGCTCACCCGCCGTTAGCCATCTCCTCCCCTGTTAAGCCACCGACCGGAGACAAATCGCACCGCACAGAAACACTGGAGGCCTTCGACCCCACAGCTAAGGTTCGTTTTTGTTCAATTTTTTCTGCCGTCAAGTCCTCTCTTGTTGTCGATTTTTTTCCTAGCCTTTCATTTTTTTCTTCTTTTTCCTGGTTTTTGTTAGATTATTTTGTTGGTTCTATCAATTGATGCGTAACAAACTCATAAAAGAGCTGTAAAATAGAAACATCTGCAATGAAAATAGCTTACATTTGAATGTGAGATGTAAATTGGTTTTGAATGAAATACCAAGGAGTTTGAAGGATTAACCAAACACTTTTTAAAAACTCCAAACCGTTGTAAGTTAATAAACTATAAGTTAAATAGTTAAAAGCATTTTTAATAAGGTTAGCCAAACACCCTCTATCTCTCACTCGATTCACGTTCGATCTCACTCAAACAAGGTCAGTTTGTTTATGTTTATTGCTCTCGTAATGATCGCTCATTAGGGAAAATTTTAAATCCACTGAATTAGGATTAGAGCTGGTAATCAAATATCCGTTAAAATCAATTGGATTTTTCTATTTGAATTTGGATTAGGGTAACTGTTTACTTTGTTTTTTATTTGCTTATTTATTCCAAAATTTTCTTTATTCCAATCAAACTAAGTTACTAAAGAAAGCAATAGTGTAAATAATTACTTGTTTCAACCTGTAACTTATTTAATCAAACCAATTTATCAAAGAAACCAATCATATATTCCTGAGACTTGAGGACTAATGAAAAAAATGGAATCATATATTCTTGAGACTTGAGGTATAGACAGTAACACATATTCATTTTCTTTGTTTGATTTTGTGTGTGTCATAGACAAAAGAAGCCCAACATTTTCTTTATATATATATATATATATATATATATATATATATATATATATATATATATATGAATGTGTGGGTGGGCCAAGGCCCACCATTGTCTTAATGTGGCTTCGTCATTGATCAGACATAAATTAGTTACTTAGTGGTCGGTTTAAGGGTATTGGACCAACTTATTAAACAACTAGATTACAACCCGTATGCTACACTATTTTGCAAAATAAAACAACTTTAAAACTTAATAAACCTAATTGATAAATAAATAGATTTGCAAAAAACTATTTTTTTAGGAACTTATATATTTTGTCTGTAAGTGTATTTTTGTTAATTTTAAGTAATATATAAGATGGTTTGAAGATATGGTTTTTGAATCAAATATATTGGAAAACGGAAGACAATCAATGATGGAAAGAGTATTTATTGGTTTTTGTTTTGGTTTCAAGATATAGGTTTTTGTTTTGTGTTAAAAATAAAAATATGTTTCTATCTTAAATTTTAAATAAACAAAACTACAAAAATATCCCTATATTATGCATTGTTTCTGGGTTTTGATCAAAATTCTATTTTTTTGGATTGGTGGTCATTTTAAGTTGTTTGTGGTTTTGTTTTTCAGAAAACTGGAAAAAAAAAATACAATTTTTATACATTTTTTTTTAATGTTCTATTTAATTTGACGTTTTATTTATAAAAATTATAGGGCCTAGTAAACTGCCTTTTTTTAATGTTCTTTCTTTATATATATATTTTTTAACGTTCTTTCTATTTAATTTAAAGCTTTTTCCGGGTTAGTTGTTCATTTTCCCTATTTTCTTGGTTTGTTCGTGTGTGTTCATCCTCTGATTTTGAATCATAAGAACCATACTACAATGTTTACAATAACAAGAATAAGGTATGTAATCTTTTCCTTATTAATTTCGAAATAACCTAGGGTTTCTAGGGTCCTTGCTTTGGTGTTTATAGCTATAAGTTCAATAGAGAAAATATAGATCTTTTATTTTAGGTTGCATGCACACTTAGGATTTAGTTTTTGTTTTGTAATGTCTAAAACCTATCACATTCTTCATTGTTCAATCACTTCGGTTGCCACCTTCCTCCACCATATCATTGCATTAATTTCCCTCACACGCTCCATGATTTCGTCAATAAACAATCGGTGGAGATCCATATCTGATAACTAATGGAGGTCATTACCATCATATCTACAAACAACTAGTGAAATCATGAATACTTGAGGATTAGACTAGGGAAACATAACCATGACATCCTAGATTCCTATAGAATATAACATTGTTCCTCTATTAGATTGCAGAACAAGAAAAGCAAACACTACAAGCAGGCAAAATCCCAATAAGGGCATTTGACACAATACATAAAAATGTATAGATCTCACATTAACAAAACATAAAGGATAAGCAACTATATGAAGAACAACTATTGCGAAAAATAACAGTATTTTTGTATTAACACATCAAAATTGAAAACCATGATATTAAAGGATCAAATGAAAAATATTATACTTATACAAAACATAGAGTACAATTACTGAACAAATAGAACATGCCCTTTTAGAATGGTTCAAGCTTATCACCTCAAAAACTTCTAAAACTCAAGCATATATTAATTTAAATACAATGACCTAGTAGCAATATCACCATCCATTGGTAGAGCTTCACACACATCATCTTCAACAACACTTACAAATCATTCTTCCTAATCTCCAAATATTCTTTCCTCTTTTTTGATTTCTCCGTAACAGTACGATTCTTGAAGATTACAAATTGAAACTCTTAAATCATCCTATTCAAACTCTAATCCCCTTTTTTTGGGTGATTGAATTATTATTATTTTTGATAAACCACACTAACCATTTATATAATTTCATATGGTTAATTCATAAACATCATGTTCGTCAAAATAAAAGAGATTAAAATCATTATTATTTTTGATGAACCACGATAACCATTTATATAATTTTGTCTTTTTGATACCTTTACTTATCAAAAAGTCTTTATTTTACCATTTAATAAAATTGACCAATATACTCTTAGCCTAATAAACCTTATACAGCCACACAAACACCTATCGTTGCCTCCTCAAGCTAGCCCTCCCAGCTCACCCGCCGTTAGCCATCTCCTCCCATGTGAAGCTACCGCCAGAGACAAGTCGCACCCCACAGAAACACCGGAGACCTTCGACCCCACAGCTAAGGTTCGTTTTTGTCCCATTTTTCCTGCTGTAGAGCCCTTTCTTCCTGTCGATTTTTTTCCTAGCCTTTCATTTATTCTTCTTTTTTCCTGGTGATTATTTTGTTGATTGATGCGTAATAAACTCATAAAAGAACTCTAAAATAGAAACATTTGCAATGAAAGTAGCTTACATTTGAATGTGAAATGGGAATTGGTTTTGAATGAAATACCGAGGAGTTTTGAAGGTTTAGCCAAACACTTTTTAAAAACTCCAGACTGTTGTAAGTTAATAAACTATAAGTTAAATAGTTAAAAGCATTTTTAATAAGCTTAGCCAAACACCCTCTATCTCGCACTCGATTCACGTTTGGTCTCACTCAAACAAGGTCAGTTTGTTTATGTTTATTGCTCTAGTAATGATCACTGATTAGGGCAAATTTTAAATCCACTGAATTAGGATTAGAGCTGGTAATCCAGTGATTAGCGCAAATTTTAAATCCGCTTTTGAAACCGCAACTGCCTCGGAACTACCGGTTCGGTTCCTAAAGTTTTGAAACCGCCTGATGCAGTTCCGGTTCTCATTCTGTTGGAACCGTTACCCGTCGGAACCAATATATATATATATATATATATATATATATATATATATAATAAATTATTATTAATAAATATATATATTTAGCAAAGTTGAAAATTATTTTGGGAGAGGGACAAAAACATTGAGTTATGAAGATTATTATTCAGAAATTAGGATGAGGTATGTAATGGGAGTGCAGATCATGATTGAATTGCAGGTTAAGGCTTTGGTTGAAAATTTCAACGTGTGTCCTATAATTGTTGATATGGTGGAGCCCATTTGGTTAAGATTTGTGGCATCCACTAAGCTTTTCAGTGATGATTGGGCTGATGAGGTTATTAATGAATCAGCATATCAAGTACAAGGTATTCGTTTTATTGTTTTCTTTTGGTATTTTATAAAGAGAAATGCTGACATTTTCTTATTTTATTTCAGGGGAAACAGAAGCTGTTGCACCAAATGCCAAACACAAATCCGAACCTCATAACATACTCGGAAAACGATCCGTAATGATATGGTATAGATCCGTAAGCAAAACAATACTCTTACATTATTCTTTAGCCATTTCTTTTTTACTCTGCCACCTGGGACGAGAGCCAATTTTGTCAACTGATATAGCAAAATGGACACTCGAAGGAAAACTCCCTTATTTTACAGCCTTTCATGAAATAGAAAAACAAATCGGATCCCTAACTAACGCGTGTCCATTAAGTTCAAGTCGTATGTTCAGACCATTACATTGTATTTCTATTCAGAAGCTGGAATCATTAGCTGCTTCAATTGCTCATTCCATTGGATTGGAATTACCTCCGGTCAACTTCTATGGAATTGTTGCCCGCGGGCAGCTGTCTCTTCCAGTTGAGACCATTCTCCCTCATGCTTCCCGGATTTATGAGTGGTCAATGCCACCCGAGCTTTGGTTGTCTGGAAATGAATTCCGGCTTCCTACACGTGCTTGTGTGTTGTCTATTCTTATTTTTTCAATTAGGAGTCTTTATAAGATACATGGTTTTGGGAAGTGGGAAAAGGGTTTGGCGAAGAGAAAAGACGGAAAGGAATCTAAGATTTTGGATAAAACAGCGGGATCGGAATCGGAATCAGAATGCAAGATGTCGTCTCTTTCTAATAATCTTGTTTCAGAGAGTTATGATAAGCGACTACCGAAACAATCGAACTTGGATGCTACAGAGATTTTACTTTTGCTCGAGTCAAAATGCAGTCAACTCATTGATACAAGTGGTAAGCTTTTACAAATTTCAATTTTAGATTTTATACCGTAATCTGAAAATGGTATAAATCGTTGCAACCTTTGATTTTCATGAAGTTTACAATACGTCAAGTTGTTTCGTATGTTTAGGTTAGTGATGGAATAAGGAAAGGAATGGAATTGTTCATTCCATTCCGCTCCTTTGTTATTCCATTCCATCCAACTACACCTACTCTTAGTATTTTTCCAACAGATTGTCCTGTCTTTGTTTGGTAGTTGATGGTAAGGATCTTGAAACGTATCTTGAATGTTGCAAGAATGTGGTGTTTGCTGGTGTGGAATTGTCATTTGAGGATCATGAAGAAGATCAGATAATAGAAGATCTTTGGAATTATTATCATAAAGAAGAGGTATGTATGTATGACATGATATAAGTGAGAAGAGATTTACAATTTTACATATGGAATTCATGATAAGTTTTTTTTTTTTTTTTTGGTAGGAGGATCACAAGCCATCATCTCCAAGCTCTAATTGTGGTTCCCACAAGAGACCTTTTGATTTTTCCGAAACCAACATGAAGAAGCTCAAGAAATGTAAAGATGACAATGATGACAGAATTAGCAATGAGACCCAAAAAGAAAAGGCAATAAGACGAATGATATCAAATATGGAAGAAAAAAGATTTTGTTATATTCCTCCAAGGACTAAAATTAAAAGACCCGATGATTATTTACATTATACAAGGAAAAAAGACGATGGAAACTATACTTATGCTTCACATGCGGATTATTATATTTTATTAAGATCATGTGCAAGAGTGGATCGACTCGATGTTAGGGTTATGCATGGTGCAGTGTTGAGTTTTGAGAGGCGATTGGCATGGCTTGAGAAAAATATTGATCAATGCGTGAAAGAAATGCCTAGTTTTCAAGTGTCTTGTGAGCTTTGTCCACAAGATGATATCAATGGTGATGAATCCATGGATTTTTCTAAGTTAAACTTGTAACATTTTTTCATATTTATTGCATAACCAAAATATAAATTATCCCAAAGGTGAGAGGTTATATGATCTATGACGTGAAACATATATTGATTAACATGCTATTGACTCTAAATCATGGTTATTGTATATACATGGTTTGGTTTGGTGACATCGGTTCTAGGACCATTTGGAACACAAAAATAGCCTGAAATCGTATGCCTTTCTAAATCAGCTCATAAAACTGATTTTTTGAGGTTATTTTAGGCTCCTTAAATTGTAGCCCATAAAGCTGATTTTTGTCCAATAAAATGACATACATCTCTATTGATATAACAAACCTAACTTCCTTAAATTACAATTACAAAGAACTAATTTAAACCGATTGAAACCAAAGTACCAAAGATGTATCATCACTCAAAAACATTTAAAAACAAATGTAAGCAAGTAACAAAGTATTAAATGCAACAAAATATGGTATGTTTACATATTTGGTCATTGTACTTTAATTTTACACGATTTACCATGAACTCACATGTGATGGTTGAAATCTACTATTTTGATCAATAATAGACGACCTAATCGGTTTTCGGTGACCCTTTAGATAGGTTAATGAACTTTAAGTATTAAATGTAACAAACTATAGCCCGTGTATATATTTGGTCATTATACTTTATTTGTACAAGATTTACCATTAACTCACATGTAGTGTTTGCAATCTACCATTTTGATTTGTAATAGACGATCTAGCTGGTTTTTGACAACCTTCCAATTGGTTAACAACTTTATAGGGTATCAGATTATATCTTTGTTTACATTTAGTCTCTTACCCCATTTTCTTTAAGCAAATTACCATTAAAGTAAAATTTATGTTAAAAAACCATTAAACTTTTTAAAACCTTTTTACAAACTTTTATTACCACTTTTTATAAAACTTGTTTTGTAATTTTTTTATAATTTACAACTTTTCCCCCAATTTTTAGTATTTATTTATTTATTTTTATATATTTTTACAACATTTAGTTGTTTTTTTCCTACAAAAGAGTAATTCTCAAAACGTTGTAAAAAATATATGAAAACATCAAAATAACTTATAAAAAATGTAAAACAAGTCATAGAAAAATTTGAAAAGAAGTTTTAAAAAGGTTTAGAAAAAATTGGAAAACAAGTTTAATGGTGTATTTCCAACAAAAATGTCAGTTGATAATTTATGTAATGACTATTTATGTATAATGATAATTTTTTTTATTATATATAAAAGTCATTAATATACGGAAAGAATCATCAAAAAAATAGCTATAAATATTTAATATGCTTGTTTTTATAAGCAAAATTAGAAAATCTTAATTTTGGAAAGCTTTTTATAAATATTTAACCGTTGGAAGTCGAGAGGGTTGGCTTCGTTTTCCCGCAATATATACGTTCTTCAGGTATCCGCTCTCAACGGACCCAAAAAAACCCCGAAGACCCCTGACGATCTCTCTAACTCCTCTCCCCGGATACCAATACACCACCTTCCTTCGCCGGAGATCTAAGAAAACCCTTTGAATTCGAAAGGATTGGTTTGTGGTCGCGCGCTCTTCATTCATTCCGCTCTCAGCAAACCCTAACACCTCGACACCCATAGTGATCTAGGTAGCGCCACTGCCGGAGACCTAAACACCCCCAACCTTCTCAGGAAACTCTCATTCATCTCTCTAGTCCAAGAACTTATCAAGATCGTTGTAAGTTTCTCTAGGGTTGTTTTTTGTGATTAAGATGTTGTAATTTCCTTGTAAAAATTAAAATTGGTGTTTGAATAAGAAAGAATCAAAGGTTAATTGCTATTATCTTAATATGTTTTTATTCCTTTTCTGCTCGTTCCGGTTTGCTAGTATTTCCCTGCCTTCTTCTTCATCTATTTTGTTGGCGGGTTTTTTTTTTCTGTAAACTCTGATTTTGTCACGTTAACTAACTGCTTTAGATGCATTACAACATAAAAAGCAAACCGCGTTTTATTGTTCTTTTCGTTGGGATTCTTGGTGTTCATCTTCTTCTTCACCTTTCATTCTTATACTTTTTTTAATTGTTTATTATACTTTATTTATTCAGGGGTTTTCTGCTATTGAGATGTGATTACTGTATGGACGTGAAATCTAATTCTATCAGATCACGATGTTTTAGTCAACAATCTTCCCTCGTATTTCAGTATTCACTGTTTTTGTTTCTGTTTCTATTTGGTTAAAAATATGCAAAAACACCAGACAGAGTGCATGTTTTGGTTAACTTTACAAAGGCAACTACATTCCATTATAAAAGTAGTGAACAATGTTGAAGAAGCCATAGAACATATACACATCAATGGAAGGTAATTTAGGTAAATATTTATCTTTGTTGGGGGTATTGTATTATTATTATTTTTTTTCTTCCAATTTCTGTTCCTACATTGAGTGCAATGTAACTTTCTTTTTCCATTTCTTTCTTTTTAACATGTAACTATGTTGCTATTTTGTGTAAAAATTAAAGTAACTTGCACATATTGGTAAAAAGAGTATCTAACAAATCCTCTTTTTGTGGCTTTTTGATAGAAGAATAACATAACTGGAGCAACTGAGAGCACCTAGAAATCTGGAAAAAAAAAGCTAAATGACTCACTAGTATGTGTCTGGATGCCAAACTATTTGATAGAATAACCTCAACACATGTTGCATTCATTCAGCCTTCAATTCTTACATAACACTAAGCATGGATGTAAAAAATTCACTATGCATTTGAAAAGCTTAATTGTTTGATTGTAAAAATATTTTTTTAAACCCCCCCTAGGGTTAAAAGCGGTTATATTTACCATTTAATTATGTCTTATGCAGGTGTTACATTATGTTATGAACCAAGAGTGAATGGTTTGGTTAACTTTTACTAAGGCAACTACATTCCATTTTGGAAGTAGTGAACAATGTTGATGAGTATGTTGTTTTTCTTTCTTATTTTTTCAATAGCATGCTTATTAAAAAAATAAATTTCCGTGATCATAGTTTGATGCATAATTGTGTAGAGTATGACAATCAGATTTCTCAAGAAAGTTCTTGTCACTTATAGTGGAGATACTGAATCTTCCTTATGCTCCAAGTGGACTGAGAAATAGCAAAATACTTTCAGTTCTTAATCCAGGTATGTTCTTTCTACTAAACATCTGCTATTTATTTTGTTATGTCTTTTAAATTCTTGTTGTAGTTTACATTGATTAGCACTTCAAACCAAAAACTTCAATAAGCAAATGGGCTAAATGCAATAAATAGCTAAATACTGCTATGACTAGCCAACCCTCCTAACAGAAATAAAACCAAAAATGCCAAAATTACCCTTCCATTACCAAAGATGCTCTTTTATTTGGTGAATTCTCCTTTTATCCTCCTTTAGAATGCTCGACTTTGTCCAGGCATGGAATGCACTTTTCAGCTTTCTTTTGTATAAAACATCGTACAAAAATTTCCAATCAAACCATTTTACTTGAAAAAATCCACCAAATTTATCATTGCACTTTCAGTTTTCTTATTATATGCATCTTTCCCTTTGAAAAATAAACCCAACGATATCACTGCATTTTTCAGATTTTTTTGTTAAAAGATTGTAAATTTGTATTTTTCTTTTCAATATCAAGGCATTTTACTTTGAAAAATCTACCAATTAAAGCATTGCACCTTGAATTTTCTTTTTAAAAGCATGTTTCTATTTGAAAATTCAACCCTTTTATAACATTGCAATTTTTAGTTTTACATTTTAACTTTCAAAAGTCTATACATTTTTTCTTTATCTAGGCATGTTAATTTGAAAAGTCCACTAATTTTAGCATTGTACTTTCATTAGTCTGTTACTTAATCAATTCATGTTGCTTTACACTTCGATATGTTTTAGGGCACAAATAGTTTATGTAACATTTCGTACAAGTCAATATTCCTTAAAGTTGATCAAACAAGGTTCTTCATTATTTGTTAATGTCCTATTTTTCTAAAGTAGTATTTTAGTTTTTTGTAGTGTGATGATCTGCTTAATTTTAGGTCTTTACTTCTAAAGTGGAGTCCAGGAGTTTCTTGCTGCAATTCAACATGTCCTCATTATCAGGTTTGTGGTTTAGGTCTAAAATGATACGGCAGTTACTACTTCATAAGATATTTTTTTCGGTCAAGTTTTAGAAAAATTCTTTCTTGTGACAAGGATGATTGCCTGGAAAACAACTTCCCAACTCTTCTGTGACAGTAAATAGCAACATCATTTTTTTTATCAATGTAGGCAATATACTTTACTTTTTACCCATAATAGCAACATACTTTTTACATATAAAAACATCATACTTGCTTACAATTCCTTACTCATAATAACAACATACTTAAATCTCTTTACAAACAATAGCAAAGTATATTGCTTTTATCAGTAAAGAAATGTAAGTAAGTTGCTATTAAGGATTATTAGTACATTGGTTCTATTGGTAAAGAAATCAGAAATGTAACTACATTGCTGTTATTGGTAAAAAAAATGATTATGTTGTTATGTAAAAACTAATAATATACATGCAGGTTGCTTTTTGTATACTCATATAAAAATTAATCAAGTAATGCTAACTGTGTTGTACACAGGTCAAAGAAGGTCCTCCCTCCATCTCAATGTATAACAAGGGTCTTTTAGTCATTTAGTTAAAAAGAAGAATGAAACTGAATTCCTTCCACCTGTCCCTATGAATGGTTGAAGTCCATCAAATATGAAATTTAATTTTGAAATAAACAACCAACTCTGCTGGAATCCATGATTCCATTTTTTTTTTTTTGCTGTGGTTTCTAACATGTTTATTACTGTTTTGATATGGCAGCTGCTGGAACCACTCAACAACCCATTAGTTCAAACAAAACAACAGCTTGAATTACTTCTTCTGTTTCCGTTAGATTCCAATCCAATTCAAAAGGCAAGTAAATTTACTCTTCTACCCTCACAAACTACAATACTAGTTACAATTTATGACATGGTTTCAGTTAATTTGAATACAATAAAACAATAAGGTTATGGGAACACTATTTAAGTGAACACCTTTCATTTATACGGAGCCAATGTGGTTGACGAGTCTCAACACAGACTACAACCAACGAGAGAACTCGGACTTGTGTTGATGAGTTAACTCGGCCTTGCGTTGACGAGTTAACTCAGATTTAAGATGTTGAGTCAGCTTCAGCCACCAAAAGCTCCCAAGATGGTAAGTATGTTCTTGGTTCAAAAGGCATTCTTCATGTGAAAATATCCCAAGGGAAATAATCAAACAAAATGGAAGATTCCAGAAACATGGAGATGGTGGCTCTTTGTTTGATGAGAGACATCTTGAAAAAGAGAAGTATGTTCCAACACCCAAACTCAAATGTGAAGAAATGAGAGACTTTGAAACCTTCAAAGTTCATATTTACTTGTTTCTATCTAACAGGCATGAAAACTTGTGTCTATGTGGTTATTATTTCTGATCATAAAAGATTTTTGGAAGATTTGGTGTGTGAAATTGTATCCGAAGATGTGTCAACTCTTTTGAAAGGTAAGTCTATGCTAGAGTGATACAGAACATTTGCTCCAGGAGATTATAAGATTATAAGTACAACAATAATATTGTTGGAAAGAAATTGAAATATGATGCATGTGTACTCTCTTTCAAAAAGTAGATTTGATTGTCAATTGAACGGTATTTAGGTCCAAATTGTTCAAAGAAAGAATTTATATTCAAGAAAGAAAAAGGATGCATGAAACAATGTTTATAGTTGTTCAATGTCTTGGAAAGATGCTTGCTACTATTATGTGACATGACATCTCCTTTGTTATGGAGTGTGTTCACATGATTCTTTATGAGTGTCAGATAGAGTGAAGACAACAACACAATTACATGTGGAACATGTCGATCTCATATCATGAATTTTTCTTTATTTTTGATATATTTAAAAGTTTAATGAAACATGATATATCACGCGACAGAGAGAAAATGGAGTAACTTTTTTTTTTTGGTTTAGTGGCTGCACTGTCACATGTATGCTATATATGGTATTATGAACTATAGTTGTCATATCTGTCAAAAGAAGGCATGTGTTGGTATGGTTTTTGTGCATAGTGAAGAAGTCTTTAACAAAGAAATTAATTTTGATATGAAGCATGTCATGAGGAATTGAGTCTCACGTTCCTAGTAATAAAGTTAAAGCCATTAAACGAATATTCAATGATGCCTGTGCCCAAAACTTCGGATGTTGAAAACCCTATCACGACAGGGATTATTCTAAGCTAGTGGAGCCCACTTTTGAGTCATTACGTCCAATTAATCCCACATTTGGGCCTTTTCCTAAACACGAAACCCACCACCACTTTTCTTTTAATTCTTCCCACGCCCAAAAAAATTGAACTCCCATGTGGCACACACTCTAACAGTGGAGGTCCCAAACCTAAAAAGAGAAAGAGATACAAATTGGGAATCGGACAATTTCATCACATTCCCTCACCCCATCCTCCTCTTTCTCCAATCTCCATCACCGGTTCGACCACCCCCATTGACAATGCCGTTGTGGCTCCTGACATATACCACACCCTTGAGAATTATCTGATCACAACCCTATCACTCTCATCTCTAAGGCCTCTGATTATGGTCCTCCCTCATTCAAGATGTTCAACTGTTGGATGATAAAAGATGGGTTTGAAAGTACTGTAAAAAAAATGCTTGGAGTAGTTTTGTTGGTTATGGTAATATGGATACATACCTAGCTGCAAAGTTACGTTACTTGAAGACGGAAATCAAAAAGTGGATCAGAATAGTTCACGAAGAAGAAAAAATGGCGGAGACAAGAACTTTAACTCAGTCAGAACTCAACACGCGAAGTGAAGGCTTACAAAAGATATTAGAAATGGAGAAAATTGCGGTGTTAGACTTGAAACAAATATCACGTGTGAAATGGTTGGACGAAGATGAAAACACAAAATTTTTCCATAGGTATATCAACAACAGGAAGAAGAGGAACAGAATTAACGGGTTGTTGGTGAATGGCAAATGGACTATTGAGGTGGAGGAGGTCAAATGTGAAGAACTTTAGTTTTTCCAAAACAAATTCAAAGAAAAATGGGTTTTGAGGCCCAAATTTATTAGTCCAAACTTCAAGTCTTTGATTATGATGGAAGTAACAAAATGGCCTAATAAATAAGAATGTTTTTGAACTTTAGTTTTTCCAAAACAAATTCAAAGAAAAATGGGTTTTGAGGCCCAAATTTATTAGTCCAAACTTCAAGTCCTTGACTATGATGGAAGTAACAAAATCGAATCTCCATCTACCCTAATAAATCAGAATGTTTTTGCCGTGTTTTTATAAGTTTTGATATATGTCATTTTTTGGTAATTTTAAATTAAATTTTTACGTGTCATATTTTCGTGTTTTTCACTTTAGACGTGGAGCTGACATGACTACCACATCAGCTTGTAAATTAATCTGAAAAATAAATGCCGCATGGAATACGTTCCCAAGTTGATTCGAACTTGAGACCTTAGACACAAAGGTGCAAAGCCTTAATCACCGAGATAAGAATTCTTCGACGCTTTGTTTTCTAATTCAATAATATTCTACTCTTAGTACTAAACTCTAACAAATTTTGACTTTTAGCTTTTCTAATACTTACATACATAAATATATTAATGAGTTTTCGACCTTAATATTACTATAACTCACTTCCGTTTGTGTTAAGCTTCTCAAAAAGATTACCAATTTTCTCTAATAGATTCGATTTCTTTTAATTTAATTTTAGTTTTTTTATAAATTTTGATTACTTATATATATATATATATATATATATATATATATATATATATATATATATATATATATATATATATATATATATATATATATATATATATATATATATAGTTCGATTATTTTAAAAAAGTTTAGAATATGCACCTTAGGCTAAACGGTGTGGTGATGTTTTTGTCGATAGTAAAAGAGTGACACATGCGCCACAATAAATTTTTACAATTTTTGTCATAATTTGTCTAGGAATGAGGTTTGGTGGTTTTTTACAATTTTTGTCCTAGTTTGTCTAGGAATGAAGTGTGGTGGTTTTTTTTACCAATGGCCAATAAGAAACACAAAAAATATTTACCATTGAGATCTGTCATTGGTGGAAGTTTACCATTGAGATTTACCACCGGAAAAAAAAAAGGGTTGGGGTGTGGTATTTAATTCTTATCTTATGTACCCTAATAAATAAATAGAGTAAATTACACGAATGGTCCCTATGGTTTTGGGTAATTTGCACGGTTAGTTCCTAACTTTTTTTTTTTAAACTCGGAAGGTCTCTACAATTTGTTTTTGTTATACATTTGGTCCCTACTGTTTGTTTTTATTATGCACTTGGTCCTTGTCTTACCTAAAAAGACTATTATTTAAATAGAAAAAAAATGATGGGATAGGTAAACTAAGGTGAGGGGGTGTGGTTGGGGGTCTCTTTATTTAAAGAAATTAAAAAGTCAAGGGCCAAATAGTCTTTTTTAAGTAAGACAAGGACCAAACGCGTAATAAAAACAAACAATAAGAACCTTCCGAGTTAAAAAAAAAATAAGTTAGGGACCAAACGCGTAAATTACCCTAAACCATAAGGACCATTCGTGTAATTTACTCAAATAAATATCATTTACATTGAAATGTCAACTTTTGTTTTTTTGAATTAGACACGTGTAATTTTACAACTTTATTTCACTTATCATTTTGTTGTTTTTTTTAACTTATTTTTTATTTAAACGTCACTAACTAAATGTCACTTCATATTAATTAGTTTTATTAACATAGTATTTAATGTAGATGGTAAGATTCCATTTATACATTTTTATATTTAGGTTTGAAATAAAAAGAAAAAAAAGTTCTTTAAAATACATATTTAAACTATAAAAAAGAAAATATTGTCGATTTTGAAATCAAAACTCTTAAATAAACGAATAATTAAATTTCTAAGTTGAAAAATATTATTATTATTATTATTATTGAGGTTTGAATTGAAACTTGCAAGTCACAATCTTGAATCTCAAACATCTTTAATGATACTTTGTAAAGAAAACCATCTAATTTTCTTTCTAATTATATTTTTTAAAACAATGATTCTATATATATAAAAACATGACACATTTTGAAATTGACTCGTTTTTGTACGGGCTATATTGACAAGTGATGACTTGCGTCCATCAATATGTGATTTATTAAAATTTAGTTTACATATATAAATATAAATTTGAATTACGACTCTATTAGCATATTTTCTTTTTTAATGTTTATATTATTAATTATTATTATTCTTAATTTTTAGTTATTCAATAAATAATATTAACAAAACATAATATGTTATTCAATAAATTTGAAGGGGTTGACGACGACCTCAGGGGCAAAGCCAAAATTTTAAAATTAGGAGGGCTTATATCGTAATTAGATATTAAAATAATTTTATATCCAAATATCATAATAGAGTCTGTATAATTAAAAAAGAATTTGAATAAGAACTATATCGATCTTTGTAAAAAAACAATCTTTAAAATTTTCAAACGATCAAAATCATATTTTTCGTACATCAACCTATTATTATTAAAAAAAAAAAAAAACTAGTTAGAACATAGATAATATCATATTATATTCCAGTTTAGAAGAATGCAATTAAATAAATTTTATAAAAATATAAAAAGTAGTATATCACTTTAAGTTTAATTATAATTAAATTATTAGTTACAAGTTACAAAAAATAAAATATATAATAAGAATTAAAAATTTTCGTTTTTATTTATTAGCAAATTAAGTTAAATAGCAATATACCCAATAACTCATAATTGAATCCACAATAAAAATAGCTACCTATCAAGGTCAAAATTAAAAAGTTATTTTTAAACAAGACTTAGACCAATTAAAATGAATAAGGTATAAAATTTATAGGCCATTAAAATAAAAATATCTGGAGCAGAGGCTGCATGATTTTAGACAGAAGTGGGCCTCAATTGGTCATAAGTTTCACAACTTCATTGTTTTCTCATAAAACAATTGATTTAATAAAAAAAAATTAGGAGGGGCTCACCTTAATAATTACTGATGCGGGATAAGTATTTGCTTGTATGCGTATTTTATATATATATATATCATAGTTATTCTCTTAAAAGAGATTGAGGGGGGCAAAGCATCCGACAACCTCTCTACTGTCTCTATCCCTAGAAGACCTTAGTTATACCTGCGGTGGTTGGATTTTGACTTTGTAGGGAATATGAGGCTGCAGATGAAGATGGAGAAATGGGAAGGAAGATTTAGGGTACTTCTAGGTAAATGGGGTGGGGCGGGTAAGGGCGAGGGTGAGAAGGAGTGGGCTGGAGACCACAATGAGTGAAGAAAGAAGGTTCGCCAGAGGGAGTAGTCATCGACAACAGGTTCAAACATGGTAATGGTGGAGTTCAATTGTAATGGGGGGGATTATGGCTTCGAAAATAACCATGGTTGAGAGAGAGACACCCTCTCCTGAAACATGCCGGCGAAGTTAGTGGCTTGCGGGGATGATGGTGGTGGCTTGGAGGCGACGATGACTGATTGGAGGCGATGGCGACAATTACTTGCAGGAGATGAAATCAGAGGTGTGAAAGGATGATGACGGTGGTTTGAAGGGGATGACGAAGACCTTAGTTGTACCTGGTGACTGGATTTTGACTTCGTGGGGGAGATGAGGTTGTAGATGAAGATGGAGAAATGGGAAGGAAGATTTAAGGTACCTATAGGTAAATGGGGGTGGGGGCGGGGTAAGGGTGATATGTTTAACTGTTTAAAAAATTATTAATTATTAAATATAAAATAAATGGTTGACATTTTTTTGTCTTTTTATAAATACAAAATAAACTAGTAAGGGTAACATAGTCATTTTATTTCTAACAAAAGATGAATCGGGTAGATTTAAACTCATTAGGGATGAAATGTGCAAAATTAAACAAAACAAAAGACGGTCCAATTAATTTTTGAAAATAAGAAGTAAAACGTACCATTTGACATCTGCATGAGAGATTATTCGTATAAATTACTCTTAACATTTTATTTTGATTTTACGATCATAGGCCAAATTTAGATGAAGACAAGATAAAATTTTAATTTGAACATTGCAATGTGAAAACCGTGAATAAATAAACATTTTAAAAAATTTAAGTTTTTCTATACAAAACAAAAGTTAAACATATTAATAAGTTCAAAATTTAATATTTTTTTATAAGTTGTAATAATTTAGAAAATCTTAATTTTGAAAAACTTATAATATAACCGTTGTTGGCTTCGGGATCTAACTCCTCTATTCTAGATGTTTGGGATAACTTTTTAAAATAACTTATTAGCTTTTTAGTTTTTTAATAAGTTAAAAAAAAGTATTTATATATTTAAAAAACATTTTTTAAATAAAACAAATAAAGTTTTTAAAAAATAAAAAATCTTAACTTTTTAGTTTTTTAAACTATTTTATTCAAAGAAGTTTTTTTTTTCAAACACTTTTTAATTTTTTTTTTAACTATAAGATAACAAACACTACAAAAACATGTCACTCCCGTTCCCAAACCCCAAACATGCCCTAACTCCCGTTCACAAGATCCAAACCCTGACGATCTCTCTACTCGTAACTTCTCCGCTCCCCTGGGACCAAAACACCACCTTCCTTTCTTCGCCGGTGATCTAAGAAACCCTTTGAATTCGACTGGATTTGTTTGTGGCCGCGCGTTCTTCAGTCATTCTGCTCTCAACAAACCCAAACAACCCCAGACCCGTAGCGATCTATGTAACTCCACTGCCGGAGACGTAAACACTCCCAACCTGCGCAGGTAATTCTCATTCATCTCTCTGGTCCAAGAAATTATCAAGATCGTCGTAAGTTTTCTCTAGGGTTGTTTTTTTTTTTTTTTTTGCGGTTAAGATATTGTAATTTCCTTGTCAAATTAAAATTGATGTTTGAATAAGAAATAATCAAAGGTTAATTGCTATGTCTTTAATCTTATTTTGTTCTCTTTCTACTCATTAGGGTTTCTAGTATTACCCTGCCCTCTTCTTCATCTATTCGTTGGCGGGTATTTTTGTAAACTCTGATTTTGATTTTTCCAGATGCATTACAATTTAAGAAGGAAACTGCATTTTGTTGGTCTTTTCCTTTGGATTCTTGGTGTTCATCTGTTTGTTAGGGGTTTTTTCTTTCTCATCTTTTCATTCTTATACCTTTTTTTTTTAATTCTTTATACTACTTTATTTCTCCAGGGTTTTTTTTTTTTTTTTTTTTTTTTTTTTTTTTTCTCTGTAAAAGTAAAGTTAATGTATGGACATGAAAACTAATTCTATCAGATCAGGATGTTTTAGTCAATAATCTTACCTCGTATTTCAGTATTCACTGTTTCTGTTTTTGTTAGGTTAAAAAAAGAATTTGAACAAAAAGGCAAAAACATGAGACTGAGTGCATGGTCTGGTTAACATTATGGAAGTAATGAACAGTGTTGAAAAAGCCATAGCACATATACGGCTATACAAAATGGAAGGTAAGTATTTATCTTTGTTGGGGTCTTTTAACTTTTATAATAATAATAATTATTTACACTGATTGTTTTCTTTAGTAACTTAGTTTGATTGGAATAAAGAACAAATTGGAACAAGTAAACAAATAAAAAACTAAGAAGTCTTGCAATCAAGTTCAAGTACTCATGAATTTCAAATAAAAAGCGAAGTAAACAGTTACCCTAATCCTAATTCAAATAGAAAAATCCAATTGATTTTAACGGATATTTGATAACCAGCTCTAATCCTAATTCAGTGGATTTAAAATTTGCCCTAATCAGTGATCATTACTAGAGCTGGTAATCAAATATCCGTTAAAATCAATTGGATTTTTCTATTTGAATTAGGATTAGGGTAACTGTTTACTTCGCTTTTTATTTGAAATTCATGAGTACTTGAACTTGATTGCAAGACTTCTTAGTTTTTTATTTGCTTATTTGTTCCAATTTGTTCTTTATTCCAATCAAACTAAGGTACTAAAGAAAACAATCAGTGTAAATAATTACTTGTTTCAACCTGTAACTTATTTAATCAAACCAAGTTATCAAAGAAACCAATCAAATTCAAATAGTTGCAAAAGAATCATATAGTCCAAAACCAATAAGAGTCTAAACTTCTCATTTCTTACATGATGCTGTGTTTCTATAGGCAATTAGGCACCCAATCCAAAGATGACAGATGGATTAGGTTTGGAATGCCAAGTTTGTGGCTTCGTGGGATTGGATGATGGTTCAGATGGCTTCTTTTATTGCCAAAGATGTGGCTCTCAAGCTGATGGAATCAGAGATACAGCTGTTGATGATGATGAGATGCTTTTAACAAAGGAAAATGTTGGTGGAATTGTGCAAAGACGTGTAGCTGTGGTCAAACCTGAACCTCTCTCTCAATCTCAACCCCCTTCACAGTTTTGGAAAACTTTAAGGACCCAAGAGAATGATGATGATGATGGGGTGGGTCCCACTGAGCCTATTGATTTTGGGAGAGGGCCAAGAACATTGAGTTATGAAGATTATTATTCAGAAATTAGGATGAGGTATGTAATGGGAGTGCAGATCATGATTGAGTTGCAGGTTAAGGCTTTGGTTGAAAAATTCAACGTGTGTCCTATAATTGTTGATATGGTGGAGCCCATTTGGTTAAGATTTGTGGCATCCACTAAGCTTTTCAGTGATGATTGGGCTGATGAGGTTATTAATGAATCAGAATCTCAAGTACAAGGTATTCGTTTTATTGTTTTCTTTTGGGTATTTTTATAAAGAGAAATACTGACATTTTCTTATTCTATTTCAGGGGAAACAGAAGCTGTTGCACCAAATGCCAAACACAAATCCGAACCTCATAACATACTCGGAAAACGATCCGTAATGATATGGTATAGATCCGTAAGCAAAACAATACCCTTACCATATTCTTTAGCCATTTCTTTTTTACTCTGCCACCTGGCACGAGAGCCAATTTTATCAACTGATATAGCAAAATGGACACTCGAAGGAAAACTTCCGTATTTCACAGCCTTTCTTGAAATAGAAAAACAAATCGGATCCCCAACTAACGCGTGTCCATTAAGTTCAAGTCGTATGTTCAGACCATTACATTGTATTTCTATTCAGAAGCTGGAATCATTAGCTGCTTCAATTGCTCATTCCATTGGATTGGAATTACCTCCGGTCAACTTCTATGGAATTGCTGCCCGGTATCTCGGGCAGCTGTCTCTTCCAGTTGAGACCATTCTCCCTCATGCTTCCCGGATTTATGAGTGGTCAATGCCACCCGAGCTTTGGTTGTCTGGAAATGAATTCCGGCTTCCTACACGTGCTTGTGTGTTGTCTATTCTTATTTTTTCAATTAGGATTCTTTATAAGATACATGGTTTTGGGAAGTGGGAAAAGGGTTTGGTGAAGAGAAAAGACGGAAAGGAATCTAAGATTTTGGATAAAACAGCGGAATCGGAATCGGAATCGGAATCAGAATGCAAGATGTCGTCTCTTTCTAATAATCTTGTTTCCGAGAGTTATGATAAGCGACTACCGAAACAATCGAACTTGGATGATACAGAGATTTTACTTTTGCTCGAGTCAAAATACAGTCAACTCATTGATACAAGTGGTAAGCTTTTACAAATTTCAATTTTAGATTTTATACCGTAATCTGAAAATGGTATAAATCGTTGCAACCTTTGATTTTCATGAAGTTTACAATACGTTAAGTTGTTTCATATGTTTAGGTTAGTGATGGAATATGGAAAGGAATGGAATTGTTCATTCCATTCCGCTCCTTTGTTATTCCATTCCATCCAACTACACCTACTCTTAGTATTTTTCCAACAGATTGTCCTGTCTTTGTTTGGTAGTTGTTGGTAGGGATCTTGAAACGTATCTTGAATATTGCAAGAATGTGGTGTTTGCTGGTGTGGAATTGTCATTTGAGGATCATGAAGAAGATCAGATAATAGAAGATCTTTGGAATTATTATCATAAAGAAGAGGTATGTATGTATGACATGATATCAGTGAGAAGAGATTTACAATTTTACATATGGAATTCATGATAAGTTTTTTTTTTTTTTTTTCTGGTAGGAGGATCACAAGCCATCATCTCCAAGCTCTAATTGTGGTTCCCACAAGAGACCT